TAGCGGTTAACAGAGCAGTGGGTCCGTCACCAGTGGCAGTTGCAACTCTCTACCCCAAGCTTCACCAGTACTTTGCGGCAGCTTTCCTACACCAATAAGCAAACAAGGTGTCCCTCAGCGCATTCCAGGCGCACCTCCTTTTGGAACTCAAGCCTCAAAGCAACGAGAACAAACTGTTGCGGAGAAACGCATGCACAGCGAACTGAAATTAGTTAACATGGTTGCATCCCAGGATGCCACATAGTTGCTGCTGTCTCAAGCTTTAACTGCGGCTAACAGAACCGGAAACAGTCCAAGGCCCAGACTTTACTGCAGCCATCAGGGGCCTGTACGGGTACTACCATTGGGATTACTACGTTCGTTGCCGAACGCGTGTTCCAGTGAGCACCAAAAATCATGCCATGTACGTTACTTACTACTCCCACTGAATATACCGCCGTTCTTACTTCTAATGCTGCTAAGAAGGTCGAGCAAAACCCGATCCTCACAACGATGTTCAACACGCCACCTCATACTCATTCAAGCGTACGTCAGTTTGGACTCCAGCCACCTAAACAAATTGCCTCGGATAACGCGGCCAGCAAGCAGAGGTCGCCTTAAGTCCAGAACAGTAGAAAATTGGCTACCACGAGACCGCCACCCTCCCGTGGGCGAACTGCAGTCATCCCCCGTGTTGCGATGTGGCCCCGCAGCAAATAAAAGCTCTAAGCCATACCACATGCTCCCTATGGAGGGATCGTACCGGCTTCTGAAGCGAGTACAATTACCAGTTAACTGATGAAGTGTGTGCAGGCACACGTGCACGTGCGCCGCTAAATACGGAGTGTGACAAAATCCTACTGCCAATTCGGGCCCAAACAGGGTGTGAGGATACTTTTGTAGCTGAAAAAACAGAAACGACCGAGTGTGTGTGCTAGCGTTTCCGTACACTGTCCGGAGGTGGATCAAGATGCACCCAACCACTCTTTGGTTCGTATGTTCCATGAAGCCCCTCATCGGACACAGATGACAATCTATCAGTTCAAAGTATATGCAGGTGAACACAAAAGCAACGAACCTACCCACCCCCTACAGGCCATAGCGACTTTACGCGACGAAACGAAGCGACATCAAAAGCAACATGACAATAAAACAGCTCCACAGGAACTGCAATGGATGTCTACGCCGTTGTTCTCTGCAAAACGCATGCGAAATTTCGTTCCACGTCATCCAATGTTCGAAGGCAGACACGACAGTACCAAGGGACCACTCATAAAGATGCAATCGAGGTTGGGCGCAATGTCGACTGTTGGGGCACAACGAGTTCTACCACAACAGAGCTGCAGCTCATGCAGCCGTGCTACCGATTGTATACCTAAAACAAGTGTTCTGTAGTAGCTGTCGAAGAATTACTCCACAGGCTCCATTAGGGGGCCTATATTTAGAGAAACGCGCATGGACATGTATCCAGCTAAACCCCACTGAGTGGAAGCCAGCGTTCTCACCTGATGCAATTTTCGGACTAACCGCATATGTATCAAGAAACCTAGCAACCGCAAGACGTCGTTAGCCGAGGGATTCTAACGCCAAAAGCAACAGAAGCAAACCCGTCGGCCTAGGTGCAATTGGGGTTCATGATTTGCCAGGAGGACGCATCCTGCCAACCCCAACTCCACCTAATGCATGAAATAGCCGTTTAAGGCAACATAAATGGCGCTGGTAATACATAGTAGCACTGGGGATGCTCCAGCTAACCGATCATCATCATCATATAGCCGGAACTCCAGGACAAACCTCTACGCCGCTACTTACAGTGCAGGGATCTTCCTTTCCTGCGAGTCGTCGGTACGTTGAATATTTGTCTCCGTCGCTGATAATCTTCATACACTGCAAGACCAGGAAAATTGCGGAGAGTGCTACCACTAGGAAAGAGGCTAGCATTAGGGGCCTCACCCCCCTCCTCGACTCAACTCCACGCACAGAAACCTCCTCATGAATCGTACCACGCTGCAAATGGGTTTCAGGTCCCCCTAACACAGAAAAACGGGGAGTTGAACCCGGTGAAGCAGCCTCAGCCAACGCACACAGAGATAAGAAGACGGAGACTAAGAACATATGTCGCGACATCTTGGGCAACAGGATTACGCAACGTAGAATAGGTAGTATTACAGTTCAGATAGAAGAACACACAGTTATTAGTTAGCAATTTTAAACTCAAAAAGTATGTGTGCTTTTCACTCCCATTCCATCAGTGCTGCCAACTGCGATTTCGTCTCAGAGACGCCGTAAGTGGCAGCTCACGTGCGACAGGTGCAGCCCATCGCCTTCCACTGCACTAGTGAAGCATAGGCTTCGTATACTCCATTTCACCGTATATTTTATTATTCGGTTTATATGTTTGAGCATCTTTCAGTATTTTCTACTGCCTTCCTGTTTTGGTTTGTTTCAGTGCCTTAAATACCCAAGAATCCCCACGCTGGATAACTACTTTATGCAATCAAGCTGGAAGCCAGCCACATCAACAACACAGTTCTCAAGCTACACGCTATTATTCTTATCATACAGATACATTCTTTGATTTATATGCATATAAGTAATATTGGTACGCTCGGGAGAGCATACACCGCGCTCCCCTTGGAGCGAGGCTGGACCAGATGCTCGACTGGTTAGTGCACCGTTACATGGCGGCCGGAAAACAAGCGGTGACTGTGAACCCGTTCCCACCTAAGACCTATTTATGCAGTTGAAATGCCTTCAGACAAAAGTAGAGTTGCTCCTTTTTGGCCCGAAGGGCAATTGTTCAACTGTTTCGTCATCTTTTCCCCATTCCTCGTTTTGGTGGCTGTACCGAGTCACCTCGATCATGTCCAAGGACTGTCGGGAGCTGCAATGGAGTCAACAAACGTTTGGTAAGCATTCCACAAAAGTGGCTCAACTCCGCTCCCCACTCCCCAGGAGTCCTGCCCACAGTTGCCTTTGCGACTGTTGCTTCTGCGGGGGTGGCGGCTGGAAATGAGCTTCAACAAAATATTGATACAACTCAGGATACAGAGCAATATCAAACGGACGCACTTCCGAGCCACATTTGCCTCATGTACTAACTGCACGCAGGCTCCCTTTAGTAAGGGCGAGTAGCCCTTCGCCTCCGGGTGCTGCGGATATATATAGCTGCGTATCACTATGCAGAGGACGTCGTTCTGCAGCAGCTATGAAAACAGAGCGCTAGAGAATCTAAAGGCATGGGAACGTCTACGGATACCACAGATCTACTGGAAAACGGGAGGTACTTTGCTGCAGTTTTATTAGAAGGCAACACTGTATCCGTTGGGCATGCACAGCAGTATTAATTTTTGCAACAGTGCCAACAGCGGTTGTTCGCGCCCGGATTGCATGAGGGCGTTTCTGGGTCTGCACCCCGTCTAATGTCAGCCTCGCCCTCTGTATGTTTCTTCGGCTCCGCCTTAGGCATCCGTTTTTGTCAGTCATAAGCAACCACAGCTTACGATAAGCCATGCAGTCTCCCTGAGTTGGTTTGAGCGGGTAGCACTGGCCAACGTCCCACGGCGCACACATATGAGGGGCCACTGCAGTAGTACCTCGTAAAAAACCATTTTCCAACTAGGATACGTACTTATCAGCTGCAAAACAACTTCCATGCACACGCCCCTCAAGGGACTGACGCCCCCCAATAGTCATCCCTGTCAACGGTGGACAACCGCAGGTACTGAAGCGCCAAGTATATCGTAAAACACACTATGCGCCAAAGCAGCAAAAGCATCATTCTGTCTTGTGGTACCGTCTCATGTTAATATAACTGGTTCCCCGTTCCTCTTGACTGTTTCCATACATTATTGCTGTCATGTCTGTTGCTGCCAATGCCGTTGCTAATTCTGTTCACTATCCACTCCGAGCAGCGGCCCCATAGCCTCTGTTGTCGATCCTACGGCAACAGCTGCTGCAGCTGCTTCAAATAATGCGACAAAGGGGATCATATGCTGAAAGGCACTCAAACGTCTTGCATAGTATACACAAGCAGGCCTGTGAGCCCCAGAGGGTGATGTCCACTACCAAGTCAAAAGCGCAGTGTTCTTGTCAGATGCGCTGACCTCTCCGTAGGCAGAGGAGGGGGTATTCTATGCTTGCGTGGGGGTCTGCCTTGCCCCATCGCTTGCGGCAAAAAGAAACCTAAACTGATAACCGTTGGTCGGTGCTACATATTGGTATGCAGCATGCCACCTTGATAGGTTGTCGATGTTCGTTGCTAGCACCTGTCACCGTCAACTATGCAATGGTAACAAGGGGGAACCAGCATCCCCGACTTTATCCAGTGTGTAGTGCCAACAGGAGTGCACCGAAATGGCTGAGTTAAAATTTACAACGAGCAACTCACAACTCGCAACCCAGTGTCTCCGTCCGTACTACGCTCTGCTGGAAAACAGGCTGGATCCGCGGGAAAGGAGGGGGCCTGCCATCAATTCTGGCTCATCTTGCTGCAAGTCCAGGGCATGACAGCCCCCCATGCAGGCATAGAAAACCTCGTTACGAAACCATACCAACGTATGCTTTGCTGCATGTACGAACAGTGCAAGCAGATGTTGAAAGCTCCTACTCCACCCGAGGCTGAATACTTGCTTGCAGGTTACCTAGTAAGGACGAGTATTTGCCCATGCGCCACCTGCTGACAGCCTATGCAACAATAGCCAAATGAAGATCTGCAGCCTCAGCGTCAACAGGTGATTCCCCCACATGCTCACTTAACAGAACGACAACATTCAAAATGAATAAAGATAACAAACACATCGAGTTCACGAGCTGGGAACGTCGACTGTTTTTGATCGTGTGGTCCGTTGCACTGAAAGAGCTGCATGTGCATGCGTCGTGGCAATAGTTGCCTTCGGCATTGGCTCGGGTCATCTATTCAAAGCTTTTACTTAATTGCATGAGTGCTACTGAGAAGTAAATAGGTGAATTATCAGTTTATTGCTCCTGGGTGCGTATTTATTCGCTCGTGTTGAACCAGGATGAGGTTCTTCTCGGGCAGTTGGTTCTCGGATGTGCCGTGGCTTCATGTGTACGTGGGTTTTTCACTGACAATAGAGGCTTTTGAGCAATATTTAAACCTGCGGCAGCTGCGGCGATATACCAGCAAAAAGAAGCCTCCGTCTTTGCTAAGCCTGTGGGTGTCAGAGGAAGCCTATGTGCAAGCCAATGAATACAATAGTGACAAGATCAAACTGTCTATGGTCTCTTCTCTTGTTGAATCCGGCGTTTCTATCCTTTCCACCTTGTATTTTTTCGGGCCTTTTTGTTGGCGTATTGCGGGAACATGGGCAGGAGACGGGGAGTATGCTCGTCCGCTGGTCTTTATGGCTATACAGCGAGTAGTGTCCGAGTTTATCTGCACCCCCTTCCAGCTCTACGGCGACTTCTGTGTAGAGGAAAAACATGGCTTCAATAAGAAGACAAAGCTCCTGTTTATTAAAGACAAGCTTCTCGGCCTGGGTCTCACAGCGGCAATTGGGGCGCCCATTCTGTGTGCTGTGAATTGGCTTATCAAGTGGGGAGGGGCTAACTTTCATTTTTGGGTATGGCAAGGCACCTTTTCACCGTCATAGTGTCCCTTTTATATCCTAGTGTGATATGTCCCCATCGTGTTGTCGTCGTGTAGCACCCCTTCTCGATATTGTAGTTCGTATTGCTACTCCTTCCCCGGTGTTGCCCTTGTTGCCGAGGGGTCAACATAATACGGCTTCTATTGGAGGTTGGATTCCAGGGGTTTGTGTGTAAGCTCAGGTTACCAGCCTGTGCTTTGTGTGTTTGTTTGCAGCTCTGGGGTTTCTCGGTGTTGATGACATTCGGAATGATAGTGATATATCCCAACCTGATTGCTCCACTGTTCAACAAGTTCCAAGTTTTACGGGACAGAGAACTCAGGAACAAAATAGGCGCCCTGGTACGACCGTCAATATACAACGTGATTGGCAGTGATTGGCAGTTAGACACTGAACAAGCGTTAGTATGGATGGGTGGCTAGGCGGAGACCATTGGGGCCCGTTTTTTGTTTGTCCAATGATTCCTTCCAGTATCAAGGTGTGCCTGCCTGCCACCTTGTTTTCTTTGCGATGTTTTCGTGACCTAGTTCTACTCGTATGTCCCATTTGGTGTTCCTCAGGCTGAGCAGCTGAAGTTCCCTCTCTGTGAAGTGTACGAGATGGATGGGTCGAAACGTTCCAGCCACAGCAACGCCTATTTCTACGGCTTTTGGCGGTGGAAGCGAATTGTTATCTTTGATACTTTGCTTCATCTGCCCCACGAGCAGATTTTAGCTGTTCTGGGTACGTTCTGGTTTATGCTGTCTGGGGTCGCCTTTACCATTGCCTTTGCATCGCGTTACCTTCCCTATTTAAGGCGACCACCTGCTCTCGTATGAAGTGAACTGACCTCCACATTAAGGGCGCAGATGTATGAGCTAGAGGAGCAACAGCTGCTCAAGGCAAGGCTCTACCATACCGCAGGGAACGCTGTTGTTCAGTTTGATGCCGTGTGTGTGGTGATGCTATCGACGCTTTGGGATTCTGGGTGTGCGTGAGAGCGTAGCTCTAGAATAGTTTTGCACAGTTTCATACAGAACACAGGACTGTTTTGTATGTCGCTGTATTCAGGCCACGAGCTAGGTCACTGGGGCAGGAGCCACTTCACGCAGCGTTTGGCGCTTGTGTTTATGAACTTGTTTGTGACATTTTACCTTTACGGGAAAGTCATGAACAACGACCACCTCTACAAATGCTTCGGTTACGGCTCAGATGCCAAATCTCCCATTATTGGTCTCATGCTCCTTGCCAATATTCTCGCTCCTGTACGCAATCCCATCCTTATGCCGCAGCATGTACAACAATTGACATAGTCGGAAAAGTGCTGTGGAACTCATTGTGGGTGCAACGGAAATGCGAGGGCGACCTCCGAGTGTGCAAATATTATCTTCGGTGGTTACTGCGCCATCTTCTATTTGTTTCGCCACGACATCAGGCCTGCAAGTGTGCGTGCAGTCCACCTTGGCTTGTTTGCGTTTGCGCTGTTGTTGGGTTGTGAGTACCTGATTTGTTCGTCTTCGGTATTTGAGGGCTCCATGCAGGTGAACACCGTCCTATCTGTCCTTTCGACGCTGCTCTCGCGAAAACATGAGTTCCAAGCAGATGCGTTCGCATGCGAACTCAATTATGGAGAACAGCTGAAGGAAGCGCTTTGCACAATTCACACGGAAAATAAGTCAACTCTCGACCCAGATCCCTGGTAAGTCACGAGCGACACTAGTATAGGTCCAGCTTGCAGTTAAGACACGCTTCTCGTCATCTTCCCAGCAAATTCGCCAAGCCTCCAACTGTGTAGCGTGCGCCGGCATTGGAAGCAGAAGACGAATGAGCATCAGGTAGGCAATGCTGTTGCCGGCTTGAGGCTCTGTTGGTGTACAGGTACTCGTGGTGGCACTACAGCCATCCGCCACTCTTGGAGCGTCTTTCTGCCATCGATGCCATACTTACCAAAACGCAAAAGAAGGACAAAAACGACGATAGCAGCAGCAAGCAACCAAAAGAAGAGACGGAGAAAACCACGATAGAAGGCCATCACGAATCATCCGGTGTAACAAGGGCAAGGAGCCACAGGGTGGAGCCAGAGACCAGCTCTGATCTTTGACGATTACAGGATCCGCCAAACTCCCAAACTGCTACGGCTTCGAGCTTTTTACCATTGGGACTCTGTAAAGGACACCCTTGTCGTGAATTGCCATTGGAGCCCAATAACAGCAGGATACTACACAAATCGAGATGCATGTATACGTTTGTGCATGTAGCCGTAAAGAGGCGGCACAAAAGTTGCTCAGGACACTGCTCGCGGTTCTTTCCTTGGGTTGCGCTATGTGAAACGCTGCTTCGTCGTGCAAACACGGCACACTGCGTGCACCGAACGGCTCCGAGGCACAGCATCAGCAATAGCTGCACCAACTGTTCGACCACGAGCTCCTTTCTTTGCATGTATTATAGGCACAGGTGGTAGCTGGAAAATTCTGACTTGTAATACACTGAAAAGGATAGACAACTGACAGATAGTATCAGGGTAAGCTTTCGAAGTGAATATCCGGTGACAGACCTTCGGCAGGCAAATTTGTGCCCGTATGCTCTATATATAGCGTCAGTTCGGGGCATGCCCGTTGTTTTGTTTGATGCGATTACAACAAAAACTACTTGTAGAGATTGCAGTGTGCAGGCAGCAGAAAAGCAGAAGCAAAGACCTTCCTTCAAACTCTCCTTCCTGCATCCTTCCGCAAGTATAGATAGATAGGGGAGGGGATGCACGTCAGGTTGCTTTCATTGGAGATGATGGGGTTTTGTGGCACTTCTGCGCCTGCATATATGGTTGTTGTTCAGCCGTGGATATTTATTTCAAAGCACCGACGCACCGGTGACTGCAAATATGCTCGGGGCTGACAGCAAGGCACTGTGCTCGATGTGCTAGTTGCCCTGATCGGAGGGAGTGTGGACTGTGTCCGAAATAAGGGACAGAAACAGCAGCCAGGTGCTCCAAAGGCATGCTAAATTCTGTAAACGGCCTATTGGAATACTTATGTATTGAAAACAGCCAAAAACCAGGCTTCCAATTGGGGTTCACAAATACTTAAAAGGTGGTGAAGAAACATCCAAATACCCATTCGTTTGAGTATGGGACAGTAACCATGGGAGCCCAGGGGTGCCGTCTTCCTGTACGACCATCTAGGATATTACCAACGCGCCTGTCAGCTGTGAAGTTTTGAAGAATCCTCTGATCTTCTAAAGCTACATATTACGCGTCAAGGCATGTGTACACTGCTTGACGAGTTAAAGGTGCACAGCGAGCAACATGGCAACCGCTGCCAAACGTGCCTGTCAGCTGGCAATAGGGGCTAGTCGCGTCCTAAAAATATAGTGAGCAGATGGGAAGAAGTTAGTATATTCTAGTCCAACTTCGAAGTGTCCTGTCCATCCGTTGTTGGGTGTGCTGCGCCCAACGTCCCCTACATCGTCGGTACACCTTCCGAATCCTCTACAACCTGGCAAGCGGATTACCGTTGGTTCCGTGCATGTGAAGCATTTAGCAACGTTTGCAGACGCACGCGTTAGGGGCATAACCGGAACAAGTAACAGATAAAAGAAAATTGCGTTAGAGGAGGGAGGCATGCGGACGGAAAAACGTGCCGTGGCGAAACCTGGAGTAAAGCCATAAGCCACAATGTGGCTCATGACGCTAATTGAGTTGCTTCAAGTGAGGCCGCGTAGCTTGAGCGTTGGTCGGCAGCAGCAAAGGCAAGACCAAAAGTGTCACCTGTCGTACATGAGCTGATGGTGCATTCCGCTACCGATGCATGCATCAACCTTTCCGAGTTGATGCATGCATCAACCTTTCTCACCCTGCCCCTGCAAAAGAGCCCATTGGCAAGTAGAGACACTTGTCGTCAAGCAAGCGGCAGCACTCAGCCGCTGCAGAATGAAATGAGGGCCCCAGAGACAAAAAGAGCTGCAGCCAGAAATTGCAACAACAGACAACGAAAAAGCATGTCTATGCTGCTCGTGCCCCTACTCCTGCTTACACTACTACTAATGCGTTTTTCTTATGGTGCTACTACTCTTGTTACTTGCATATAAGACGTCGGTCTTACTGTTGCCGGTGGTTTTGGCCCTTTGCTCACCTCCAAACGATCGCGGATATTGGGAACTGCCTCTTGAAGTAGCGTTAGGAGGTTCTCTTCTGCTGCTGCCTTGAGTGCCTCCCAGGCCTGCTGTGATTTGCTACGCGCTGCTGCAGCTGCCCCTGTGGGATGGAGCAAATACGCGTCGGCGTCAACTGAATAATCGACTGTATAGACAGCTGTATCGTGCTCCGTTATCCCTGGAACAGCAAACGGTCGTTGCACGCGGCTGTTGCTGCTGCAGTTGCCGTTCCTATAACACTGCTGCAGCTCTTCGCTGTTGCAGGCGCTGCAGTCAAATTCCTTGAGATGCAGAGACACCAAGGCCTCTAGTGCAGCTTTGCTAAGACCCTCGCCCCACATTCCCTGCGGCAGACGCCGCCGCTGCTGCTGCAGGTGCTGGCACTGGCCTTGGGGGGCCTCAACTGCCTGAAGCCTTCCAGCAATCTTCCCAGCATTTTGGGATGCCTCCAGAGAACTTGTGTCTGGTGATGCTATTTGTTGGTGCTCCTGGTGTAACGGTCTGCCCAGAAGCTGAGAAAGATAAGGCATTCTGCCCCCAAGGATGACATGTCTGTAAACCGCACGCGGCCAAGCTAGCTGCACCACTCCCCCGTAGATGTGCTGATAGGCCTGTACGCAGGATGCAGCACACGCAGCATCATCAGAACCATCAACAGCACAGGTATCCAGAAGCTTCAGTAGCACGGAAAAGGAGGAAAATGGAGCAGGTATAAAAGCACGCAAGCCTGGCTAAGCGTCAATCCCATCGCAAGGTGGCGAGCAGAACAGCCGTACACTCAGCATTTAATGGCCCCACTGCTTGCACGTGCTGCGCCGCGCCCTGACTCTTTTTCGTTTATTGTGGCAGGCGGCCTTTTTCCTGTGGCTGTTTGCTGCCTATCATTGCATCTCTGCTCACCTCAGCAGTGAGTCCAGAAACAAATGCATCGGGGTGCAGTTCCACGAAAAGCAGCACTTGCGAGACAGACAAGTGCAGGAATCGCAGATGTGGGCCACCCAAACCAACAGAAGCTGCAACTCCTTCCTCAGATTCCCGTACAGCTTGTGCAGCTGCAGCTGCCGCTGTTGCTGCTGATCCCAAATCTCCTGACGGTGCCGTAGTTGGCGCCTCCGTGGGGCCCCCATTTCTTTCATCTCCGCCACCACGACAAAACCACTGAAGTGCAGAGCCTTCAAGGGAAAAGAGGAGACTGTGAAACCAAGCATCCCGTTGCTGCCGCTCGGCGTCTGCAGCAGCTGTTGCTGCCGCACCGGCATCTCCTGGTTCCAATTGCCGAGGAGACACGGGAGCACCACCAGCACCCACTGTATCAGTTGAGGCAATGTTTGACAGCAGCACTGGGAGATCTGTTCCATCCTTAAGAAACATCTCCGCATCCTTGAAAGGGTGAAGGGACGTTTCTAGGGCTTTGCTGCAGTGCTGAAGGAGCAGCGACACTAGGTGCCTTCCGTTTTGCTGCTGCTTTTGTTGCTGACGTTGCAGACACTGTCGGGATAGATGAAGTTCCACAGCGCGCAGCTGAAGAGCTACGAGAGCCGCCTGACGGCAGCACGTGAGGTGCAGGGGCGTGCAGTCGGCTTCCAGGAAGAGGCGTGATGCCTGGATCAGCAGCTGCAGAAACAGTACAAGACGCAGGAAACACAGTAGAGACAAGATCCCACTGGTGCGTGTAGTGTGAATCTTCGGAGACGCATGCATAAAGGCCCCAAGCAAACAAGAAATAGGCATTCTTCTCCGTTGGTGCACTCCGTGTAACTTACTTGAAGCCCCAGACACAGCCGGTCAATTCCACTCTCGCTATAGACCTCCTTCACGTCCAACTCCATCGCCAAGCACCGAAAGGCTTCCTGCTGCAGCAGAAGCCTGCACCAGCAAACGCATGGCAGCAAAAGCAAATTTGAGACGGAAGTCTCGACTGCAAAGCAACACTGCATAAGCATTCCCACATTTAGTAGCAGCAGCAAGGCAAACACAAGCAGCACACACCCAGCCTCCTTCTTGAAACCCAATTCCAAATTAGCCAAAACCAGCTTGTCCAAGGTGATCTTTAAAGTCCTCTCCCGCTGCCGCTGCGGCTCATTCGCCATCGGGTCTAGAAGCTCGTGTAGTTGCTGGTCGTACTGAGATTGTAGCAAATCACAGATGGCAAGGGCGAGCGACTCGCACACTTGAACTTCGGGTATAACGACAGAGGGCTCTAGCAGATGCTGCAGCAGCAGCCGTTCTTGCTGCTGCTTCATGCCCTTGCGGCAGGCTGCAAGCAGCTGCAGTAGGTAGCCTCCGTCCACCAGCATTCTGAAGACAACACGTGCACAAAGCTAATCGCCTGCTAGCACTGTCAGTACACGCAACAGGCACAAGGGGAAGCAGCAGCAGCAGCTAAAACCAGCAGGTACACTCCTCACTGCATTGCCGGCGTGAAATGAGGAGACGGAGATATGCTAGTTAGAACGCGCAGCAGCAAATATGGTTTGCCCAACTGCATATAAACCGCAAGCCGCCTTTGAAGGAGCTCCAGCAGCTGCGCCAGTCCCGCAGCATTGCATGCACGCTCCAAGTCATAATACGCCAACAAGGACAACTCTACCTGCTGCTCATGCAGCAACAGCAGAGGTGGAGCGGCTACAGAAGTCATGGAGAGTCCCATATCACCCTCCGGCTTCCCCAGCTGCAGCGCTTGGTCCATTTCCAGCTCATCCTGCTGCAGCAGCATTTGCAAGGCTTGCTCTCCTACTAGACCTGGGGTTCCGCATATCCTTAAGAAGTCTTTCAGAATCAACAATGGCCATTCAAACCAAATTATCCGCTGCTGCTCTTGGCCTTGGTCGTGTTGTTCCTGCGGCTGTTGCTGGTGGTGCTGCTGCTGCTCTTGCCCCTGGCTCGGGTTCTGTACGTGTTCTAAGAACTGCTGCTGGTGAGCAACAAAAGCAGCCAGAAGAACGGCAGCAACCTCCTGCTGCTGCAGTCGCCGGTCTCTCGTGAGCTTTTCAGCAAACCGGATGCAAAGTGACGGTTTGGGCATGCCACAGGTGGGGAATGCAGCAGCAAGCAGTAGCCTCAGGAGCAGCGCCTGTGGTTGCTGCTGCTGCTGCTGCAGCACTTCATTGAAGGAAGATACCAGCACAAGACTAACGGCGAAGAGGATGAGCAATTCTAGACAAAACGGATGCAGTCCCGGCTTGCATCTTTGGACAAGCTGAGACAGTAGCTGCAGTTGCTGCCGGTGCATTTGCAGGGACAGAAGGTGTTGCTGCTCGTTTTCGTTGTCTTGCTGCGGGTCGGTACCTTCCTGCTGCTGTTGCCGCTGCTCTTGCCGCTGCTGCATTGTGACTTGAGTATCAGGAGACCCTACGTGTTCGTGCAACATTTGGAGCAGCTCCCTGTGTAGCTGCGGCAGAGGGCCAACTCCTGGCCTGGTTGCTGCACATGCAGCAGCAGCAGCAGCTGACAAGGTCTGCAGCAGCACCAGCTGCTGCTGCTGCGCCCGCAGGGGCATAGGCAATGATACCACGCGAATCAGCAGCTCCGCCAGCTGCACTTCCTGTGATAGACCCTGCAGGAGCTGCTGCTGCTTCCGCTGCTGGTCCTCCTGGGCGCTCTTGGTGTTTGAAATGGCAGAAGCACCAGCGACGGAGGCAGCAGCAGGCGAGCTCCGCAGGAAGGTCACAAAACTTCCAACTAGGGCTCTAGCGATGTGTGTACACCCGATGGATATGGCATTATGAACAGCTTTCTGCAATTGCTGCAGCAAAACCTTGTTGGCAGACTGAGCCTGTGCAGTCCTACCCTGGAGTGCCCCAGGCAAACCTTCGCTACAATCAAACCCACCCGTCTGCTGCCGTTGCTGCTGGATATCCTTGTCGTCAAGGTCAGTATCAGAGGGCGAAGTCCACTGTGGAACCCCTATATAGTGCAGAGGAAGCGCAGGTGCGTCTGGGTCTACCAGCTGCTGCAACTGCTGGAGCAGCTGCTGTACGTTATTGGTGCCAGAGCAAGCCTTGAGTGGGGTAGCTGCTCCATGTAGCAGAAGCTGACGAGTTGAAGCAGCGACATGTGAGCCCCACAGGTTCCCGGCGAGCTCCGGTGTCAGTGCCGCAGCAGCTGCTGCTGTTGTCGACTGAGACGTGAGCAACAGCAGCAGGCGGCCCTGCAGCTGCGCAAGTAAGTGAGAGGAGACCATACACCTACAGCAGCAATCTTGAAAGCTGCTGTTGTTGCTGTCTCCGAAGGGATCTGCTAGCTGGGAGTCTGTTGCTGTTGCGCTACAGCAGCAATAACCATCCTCTTCTGCTGCAGCATCAGCAGAAGCTTCTGCTTGTCCTATCCAAAACACAGAGCGCATCTCCTCCGGCTGGAGGGGTAGACAGTCTACCAGTGTGAGACCACCAGAGTTGCTGCTGCTGCTGTCGCCGTTGCTGCTGACGCCACATTTTGAGCAGCTACCTTGTGCACACTGTACCAAATGTTGCAGCAGAGCCTCTCGACTGCTAAATCGTGCGGGTGCGGGGTGTGGAGAGCCTAAGAGACTAAGGGCAGCAGCCAAGAGAAAGGCCTGCTCTGTTAGGGAGATGTCCCCTTCCATCTGTGCAGAAACTGTTAGCAGGAAGACTGCAGCAAGGACGTGAGGGTACTTGTGAACTGCAAACAGCCTGCAGCAACGGGCCCACACCTCTAGCCGCTCGTCTACGGAAGCCCTTGAGCTCTTGCTGCTCCTCCGCAGCCCTTCCAGGCCCTCCGCCACTTCGTGCACTGTCACAAGCTGTACCCAACCCGCACCCAAACCTGCAGCGTCGAGTGCAGCACCAAAGACAACAGCAACGCCAGCCGCATCCGCATCAGCAGCATCAGCTGGAAATAGACCTCGCATGCAACAAACCAACCCATGGGGGCTTGCGGAGGACCTACTAGACCCTCCCTATGCAGCGAAGTTACCCCCACAACCCCTGCTGCTAATGCTGCAGCAGCAGCTGCTGCTGCCGCTGCTGCTTCTGCATGCTCAATTGCTTGCAGTTCTGCTGCCGGCTTCTGGGCGTAGGGAGCTCACCTGCCAGTTTCGCCCACTGCCGGGCCTCTGCGTATTTTCGCTGCTGCAGCAGCGCCAGCAAGAGGTCGCTTCGCGTCTCCTGCGGCGGCGCATCCACGGTCTGTTGAAGCTGTTGCAGTAAGAGCCGCTGCAGCTGCTGCTGTAGCACAGGACTCTCGCCATTGCAAATAACGTCCGCATGGTGAAGAAGACAGAAGCTCCGAGAATATCCCACATCGTGCAGCAGCTGGAGCAAAGGATGTATGTGTGGCCCCTGAGAAAGAAGCAGCATGCGCAGCATCTCACTGCTGACTTGGCGAATATCTGCTGCTTGCAAGGTATTTCCATCTCCACTGGTATCGTCTTTTACTGGTGGGACAGTCTCTGCTGCTGGACTCGCGGCAGCAGCGACAGCTGCTTGGTGTTTGTTATTGCGAAAGGACACGAATCGCCGTAGAGCCGCTGCAGCCGTCTTGAACCTCCTCTGAGAGAAGGCCCTGAGATGCCAAGTCCACGCGCATGCACAAAGCAGGTTTCCATGGTCTTATGCAGAACAGCATGCAATTGATTTTCTTCAAACTGACTGCAGACATCTGTCGGCCGCACTACTCCAAGGTGCTAGCAAGGGATTCGCAGGTTATTGACAAGAGCGCAGCTCCGCTTCATGGCTACCAGCAACGGCCACCAACACAACCAGCAGAAACGGGGAAAAAGACAGGAGTAGCAGTGGCAGCAGTAAAAGGAGCAGCAAGGGACAGTCTACGTTACGTTTCCTCTTGTGGCCAGAATCGTTGTTCACCTGAAGAAGAGCAGTAAATGCATCAGCGGGCTGTTGGGGTCGAACAACGCGAAGCCCCGCAGCAGCAAAACGAATCCACCCGCTTCTGCCAGAGATAATATAAGCCCACACAGAGTCTCTGCACCTCCAGAAAGAAGGAGACATTCCTCACGTGCTGCAACGCCTGCGGCTGCAGTAGAAGAAGCAGCACCGGACTGCACCAATTGCAGCAAACGAGGAATTATTTCCTGTTGCTGCTGTTGTTGATGCTGAGACTGTGCAGGACTCCCGTGCTGCTGAACGCGCTGCAGCCCCGCACGGCGAAGCAACAAAGTCAGCTGCTCCTGCTTGCCAGCATCAGCAGCAGCAGTATTAAGCTGCTGATGCTGTGGAAGAAGGGCCGCCTGGAGAGCCAGCCAGGTGGACAGACACTGCAGCAGGCTACAATCCGAGAAACAACTCGCGTACACTGCAAGACGTGGGCGGCACAGCCGGAGAGCCTCGCGAAGCAGTTGTAGACCGAGCAGCTGCTGCTGCTTCTGCTGTTCTTCCTGCGCCTGCAGCAGGGATGGAGCACACAGTATAACCAAATATACCCAACTTGTGCGGCTTCGGTGGGAGAACCAGCAACAGCAGCAGTGACACAGCAGCAGCAGAAACAGCAAACGCCAACCCCTACAGCTACAAGGAGACAGAGAGGATCTTCTGCGTCCCTCCAAGAGGAATCTGTAACGGCTCCAGTTACAGCTGAGTTGCTGCCGCAGCCAATTGCTCTCTTCAGGTGGCCGCGGAGGCACGGATCTGTAAAGTAGCTGCACAACGAAAACGCCCCAACCACCCACACCACCTAACGAATGCCGCGGCAGCAGAAGCAACAACAACTGCAGCAGCGGCAGCTACAGCAGGGGCAGAAAGCGGATTACCCATCAATAACTCCCTTGAGGGTGTCTTTAGGGCAGCGCTGGAGTTCAGCTTCATGCAAAACCGACAGCCAGTCTCCTTTCCTCGCCAATTCGTGCAGCAGTGTCAAAGAATGGGGGAGCTCGTGGACCCTGCAACAGCAGCAGCAACAGCGAAAGCAGCAATGCTGCACGAGAAGGAGCATTAAAAAGCAGCGCCGACAGAACAGAGTGCCAGGCAGCAGTAGCGCCACAACCCATGTCCTCAGCACACCTGCAGAAGTGAGCAACCAAGTGCCACGGGCTAGTGGCCTGTCTCTTTACTGCAGCAGCAGCAGTAGCCGCCGCAGTTCCCGTTGCTGCCGGTTGCGGGGGAGCGCTGAGGGCCCACGTCGCCTCTTCTAGGAGACGAAGTGCTGACAACAGATGTGGGGAAGAGATGCCGCGGCTACTCCTGTTGTTGCTGCTGTTGTTGCTGCTGTTGTTGCTGCTGATGTTGTTGTTGCTGCTGTTGTTGTTGTTGCTGCTGCTGCCGATGGACTTGGCCGATGATGGACGGGGGAAGGCCCTAAATAGTTGTATTACTAAAGTGGCAGCTGCATCATGGACTGGCCCCCCTGCTGCTTTGCTGGCTGCCCTTTCAGCAAGGACAGCTTGCTGCTGCTGTTGTTGCTTCTGGTGTTCGTAGATCCTGCGGGCTGATTGGGCGTCCACTCGCAGCATAGTGGCGTCGAGGCTGCAGAGTTCTAAGAACAGGAGGCAGGAGGAGACAGTGCCCTCGTCTAAGAGGTTGTAAAATGCAACTTCCATAGCTGTCTGCTGCAGAAGGTCTTCTTCTTCTGGGGTTAGCTGAAGCAGCTGGACGTCCGATGCTCCAGCAGCAGCAGCACAAGCACAAGCCCCTCCACTGCTGCTGTCGCTGTTGCAGCTGCTGCTGCATGCATTGGCTGCATCACACCAGCAGCAACGGCAGCTGGTGCGGCTGGCCAGAAGCAAGTGGAATGCAGCAGAGGGACGGCCTTGAGAAAGAAAATAAGCTACACTCAAGCCTTCGCTGCTGCTGATGCTGTAGCCAAGTATCCCAGGTGCAGCTGGTTCATGCAGCCGCAGCATCAAAGACGTGAAGGCCTCTCCCGTTATAAAAGCTCTCTTGACTTCTGATGGCAGCATTGCTCGTTCTGTCCATCTTGATGCTCTTCTTGACGGTGCTATCTCTGTTGCGGCTACTCCTTGCGTGTGCGCAAGCGACCCATTCGCAGCACAGGCAGCAGCAGCAATGACAAAAACGTCGACGGGCTGCAGCAAAGCCCGTACATCAACAGAATCGAAGCATTCGAAGAGAAGGTCTAACAAAGACACATCCCTACGCCATGTCTGCATGTCGACAAGGAAGCAGGAGGGACCTTGGTGGTCCCGTTGGTGCTGATGCTGTTGCCCCTTTTGCTGCTTCTGCTCTCCGGGGGAGGTGCACTGGATGATGCGCCTCTGTTGCTCTATAAGTGACGCAGCGAAAAGGCAAGTCTTTAGAACCCCAGGCTCTCTTTGTTGGCACTCATTTGCCTCCTCTTCCTGCTGCGGCCGCTGTTGGTGCTCCGCCTTCTGCAGTTGATCCTGTTGATGCTGCTGCTGCATTGAATGTGCGACAGGCGCATGAGCGAAGTAAGCACTGGCCAATTCTTTAAAAGGAGCAAGCCCAGTCCTGAGGGCAACCGTTGGAGACATGCATCGGTAGAGGCTTTAACAATACTAGGGAACTTGCGGCGTCCAAGAGAGGTAGAAACGCAAACAGCATAACAGACGGAATTGAGAGGATACCACACGAGACAGGTGTAACAACAAAGGACAGACAGAGCCAGAAAAAGACGAAGGAGGAAGACAGAAACACCTAATAAAGGAACACCAGTGTTACTCCAACTAAAGTAGAAAGGGAGAAAGCCAAGAATACAAGTCTGTTGCCCACCTCAGGTCTTCAAGGGAGACCGAGAACACATCCAGCTGTCTCCTACTAGCAGCTGCATCGGCTGCAGCATCAGCTGCAACAGCAGCAGCAGATGGTGGAGGGACAAAGGCGAGGAGACTAACGAACATTGGAGGAGACAGACGAGCGACAGCAGACAGCGGCAAGAACGCCGTCCCCTCCGGGTCAAAGCAGACAGCAGAACTACCTGCAGCACGTGCATCCACCCCAATGCTGAACCCCTAGGCCCTCAATAATCTTAAAAAACATCAAACCCCTCAGTGCTCACAAGAAAATGCTGCAGCACGAAGTCAGCTGCAGCGGATTCGCCAGCAGCAAATGAACCGTGAAGCAGCAGAAGCCCATCGACAGTAAGAAAAGCAACAGCAGCCAAAGGAGCAACAGCCGACCTCCAGGGCAAAGACAAGCTGCTGCTTGATGCATGCCTGCAGCAGCAAGGGCATGGTTCCCCAGTCGGCCTAGCAGCGCCACGGAGACCCATTGTGGCATTCTGCTACTGCTGTTGCTGCGGTTGCTGGTGTTGTTGCTGCTGTTGCTGCAGCTGCTGTTGCTCCTGCCAGCTCGGATCATCGCCTTCAAGTGCTGCTGTGTTGTATAGTTAGCTGCCAGATGGAAATGCTGGATTCAATTGGGGGGCAGACGAAACAGAGGGGGACAGATGATGCCACAACAGGAGACAGGAAATGAGCCACAGAGCATGCATATAGAACAATGTAATACACCCAAAATACCTACATCGTACTGCAAACACACGGTAGAGCCTCTGCTGACCATAGGCAGAACCAGCAACAGCAGCATGCTGTAGCAGAAAATGCAGCGACAGCGAACTCAGCAGCAGCAAATGCAGCAGCAGCAAATGTAGCAGCAGCAAATGCAGCAACGCAGGTACCGTCGAAGTCCTTACCTCTAAATACGATAAAAAGAGCGACGGTAGACAATTTGAAAGGCAAATGCGAATTACGAAAAGATGCAAAGGGGACAAAGAGCCCACAGGGAGCATCTGATCAGTGGCCACATAGAGCTGCTTTTGCTGCTGCTCGTGATGTTCGTGGTGCTGCTGCCTCTTGAACAGGCAACCAGCCTTAGCGAGTCTTTGCAGCAACAGCGCTAGCGCCGCATCATCGGGTTCTGTATGTGTTGTTGCTGTCGTCACAGCATCCACCTCTGCTGCTGGTTTCTCTGCTGCAGATGCCGCTGCTACATTGCCTGTCTCCACCGCCTCTAGAAAGAGACCTCGGCGGGCGAGCCGCTGCAGCAACAGCTCGTCAACAAAAACTGATTCCTCTCTCTGTCTTCTCCTCTTTAGAAAGGACAGGATGCGCTTTAGCAGCAGGAGTGGCTTGCTGTTAGTCCTGCTACTGCTGCAGCGCCTGGTTATAGCAGCACCGACTTGCTTCAGGCGGCCCCACGAATCGCAGGCAATGCTCCGGTGTATAGGCAGCTCGTCAATACACATAGCTATCCCTCGCCAGTCAAAATGCGCCAAGCAGAAAGCGAAGATACACCTCCAGGCAAGAAAACTCTTCAATCCCTCAGCAATCCCAAGACATCCCGCTGCAATCTCCCACAACGTCCGCACGTGCTGCAGCTGCTGCGGTTGCCGCTGCTGGTTTCTTCTATTACTTGGCCCAGGAGAGCGGAGCATGTGGACGAGCTCCACATGCCTCTTCTCTGCAAAAATGCGCAAGAGGGAGGTGGGCTTGAAGAGAGACAGTTCAAAGAGAGACAGGCTGATATACCCCCCAAGAGACGCATGTGTTGCTGCTGCTGCCGCTGCTGCTGCTGCTGCGTTGTTAGTCGGCGGCTGGGTGGTAACAAGCGCAAACAAATCCTTTTCCGCTGCAAGAAGACGACTGCACTCAGCACAGGAACCCCTGCACCAGCAGCAACAACATCAGGCGCAAAGACCAAAATAACCAAGGGAATTATAATTCTACCCTTGCAACAGAGTGTCTTTTCCTCTGCTCGACACAAGCCCAAGCTTATGTCGAGCAGAGGAAAAGACACTCTGTTCCTCTAAAAGTAGAATTAAGTGAAGGGACGAGAAAAGGAGACAGCTGCTGCCACACAAGACGATAGACGCCCAGCATGTCGATGCAGAGGGACAATCAAACGAAACCTCAATAAGGAGACACAAGGACTTCAGGAGAGGATAAGTCTCTGCTGCAGCCCTTCCAGCTGACTAGGTGTTTCTTATGTCTGTCTCCCTGCTGTGTTTGCAGCTAGAACAATATAGCTATGATCTCCCTCCTCTCCTCTGCCACATACGGCTCACCGCAGGTTTGCCTGGAGGGTCAGAGGAGGTAGCTGCTGCGGTGGCGTCGCTGCTGCTGCAGCAGTTGCTGCCTGCTGCAATTGCAGCACATCCCCTTCTGTTTCCAGGGAATCGCCATACGCGCGATGTGCACACAGACGAGCACTCTCTTCCTGAGACAGCAGCAGTTGCTGCTGCTGTTGCAGCACATCGCTGTTGATGCTGCAGTCGCGACTGGTGGTGTCGGGAGCAGCTGCAGCTGTAGCAGCAGCAGCAACCCCCGAGAAACAGCACTCCGCCAGGTCTGGTGCTTCCCCACACTTCAGGTGGGCCCACGCCTGCAGCACAAACACCAAGTAATCTGTTCGTGTTGCAGCTGCTGCGACTGCCGCAGCTGCAGCTGCTGCTTCCTGTGCACCCAACACGGCCTTCCGGCGGAGCCAGCAGCATGCATAGTTTGCACCTTTAACGTAGAATCTTTGACACGTGCCAGTGCACAAGGAGAAACAGCACCAGCAGCAGAAGCAGCAACAGCAGCAGTTTCGTTGTTACCCTCAGAGCTTCCTGTGGGTGTCTTTCAGGTGTAAAATCTGGGATGGGCTCTGCTTCCACAGCACCACGGTTGGTGCCTGCAACAACGGCAGAGCAGCAGCAATTGCAGCAACAGCATATGCAGCAGCAGCACATGCAGCAGCAGCAACACCAGCATCAAGGAACTCAGCAGCAGCATACAAACGCATGCATATATCCACTATACATATATATACATGTATATATACGTATATGTACGCATAATTTTCCTTTTGTGCAGAACGGCTGGCATCTGTGCTGTCCCTATCCTTCTCTGTGCTGTCACTAACGGGGACTCCCTGCTTCAGATGTCTCTCTTTTGCACCTCCATCCTCTTCATGCTATTTTCTTTTTCACTAATGTTGACCGTGTGTGCCTATTTTCCTCTTTGGTCCCCTAATTGTGTCAGCTAGGTCTTGCCTAAATAGAGACTTCTGTCACTCCGCTCATCCCCCTGTTGCTGCTGTTGCTGGGGCTTCTGGTGTTGCTGCTGGTGCTGCAGGATTTGCCTTCTCAGGCTGGAGCAGACATAGCCGTCACACAAAGCCCCAGCCCGAAGGGCAGCGCCGCCTCCTGCTGGCCAGCATTCTGCTGCTCCTCTGCTACTGCTGCTGCTGCTGCTGGAAGTGTTTCCCATCAGGGCGTCTCTCCTTCCCCCCGAGGCATGCACAGCAGGCGATACGGCGTCCCCTTCTGATTCGGAGTCCCCTGCTGCTGCTTCTGCTGCAATTGCTAAGGAGGCGCAACGTCTTGCAACCTCTGCCTCGTAAGACGGGTCGGTAAATAAAAGCTCAAGAACCTGTAGCAGCACCAAACCTCCAATGCAACAAAAGCTCAACCCGTGCTGCAGCTGCAGGCACCAAGACCGGCTGCACTAGGAAGCTAGCACGTCTCAAAACCAGCATCTGCATCGCGAACACCATGAAAACACTAAAACAAGAGCAGCACCAACAGCACGAGCAGCAGCAACAGCATCACGAACACCAGCAGTTGATGCAGCAGCAGCACCTGCATGATACGAATGAGGCTCATATGCATTGGCTGCAGTTGCTTCTGGTGATATAGATGCCGCAACAACCGACGCCGCACAGGCGTCCGCGTTGTTAGCAACGCAGCACGTAGGCAAAATCCAGGAATGTCAACCTGCACCAGCAAAAACAACAGCGGCAGTAGCAAGATAAACGGCAGCAGCGACGGCAAAACGGGTCAACGAGCACAGCACGATTGCAGAACTCGCAGAGTGATTTGTTGTTGTTCCAGCCGCAGCAACAGCAGCAACAACAACGGCAGCAGCAACGACGATGGCAGTAGCGACAGCAGCAAGCCAGCAGAAGTCCTCACCCCAATCTGCCGCAGCATCTGCAGCCCCACAAAGAACAGCTCAGCCTGCTGGCAGCAAAAGAGTCTGTAGGCCATACGATCGGCCACCTGCTGCAGCAGAGCCATTGCGGAAACATGCTGATGCTGTTGCTGCTGGTGGTGCAGTTGCTTCTGCAGCCACAGCAATCCCTTGCTGATGCGCCCACTCAAAAGCGTCTCTCTGACCACTGTCTCCACAGTCACGTTAGGGCCCCAAGGGAGCTCAGCGTCTCCCTCTGTCACAGCAAATCGATGTTCTTGCTGTTGCTGCTGCTGTTGGTCATGCTCCTGTTGAATCGGATCCGAGTCTAAGAGAATCACCGCCTGTTGCTGTGGCTGCTGTTGTTCCACCTGCTGCTGCTTCGCAGCAGCAGCAGACACGCGCTGTTGCAGCCACCGCAAAAGCCGTACGTACAGTGCTAGCTCGGAAAGCTCGTCCGTGAGTTGCTGCTGCTGCTGCTGCTGCTGCTTGCCTGGTGCAGCCGCTGCTGCCGCAGCAAGGTCAATCTTTGCAAGGACTCGGATGTCTGTGAGAGACGCAGCAAACTGCAACAGGCGCAGCAGCAAACGCGAGCTAAATCCTATGTCTAGGAGTGATGCTGCTTCGCACTCAAGATGCATTGCTGCAGGAGGCATGTCTGCCGTAGCTGCTGCTGCATCTGGTGGTGCTGCTGCTGCTCCTGCTGCTGTATCTCGCGCTGGTATTGCTGATTGCCAAGGAGCTACTAGGGACACCAAGGAGGGCGGGAAGTGTAGCGAAGCTTCGGTGTTGCTGCAGCTGTTGCTGATGTCTTTGCTGCTGCTGTTGTTGTTGCTGCTGCTCCTGTAGTTTCCGATGCCGTCGCCGGCATATCTTCGTCTCAAGAGACAGCAATCCCTCAGCCGGCGTAACTCGTCGCCGCACTCCTGCTGATACTGCTTTTGCTGCTGATGGAGCGCCTGCAGCAGCAGCAATGCATGCTGCGCAACTGCTGTAGACTCGTAGACAGACGATATGTCTGCAGCAGCAGCAGTTTGGGCAGCCCTTTCTGTAGTTGAAAAGGCAAATGGGAGCGCCTCTTCGCTGTATCCGTTGAAGACAAAAGCCATAAGGAGTCGCATAGCGATCATTTGCTGGTTCTGTTGCAGCAACAGCAAGGCCTCTGCTATCCGTTTGAGGTCTTTGCAGCGCAGCGCCAGCTGCAGCAACAGCAGACCCACTTTGCTGCTGTCCAGGCCGTTTTGCATGCAGAACGTTGCTGCAGCACGAGGGCCTTCCATCAGTAGAACGCACTGCAGCAGCTGGAGAGTGCTGCTGCCTTCCACAGCAGCAAATAACACGCCCTTGTTTGGCTGCAGCAGCAGCGCTGCTCTGCTGCAGCAAGACACAATACCTAGAGACAGCCGCTCGCCGACGCACGATTGCACCAGCAGCTCGCCAGGCTGCTGTAAGTGTTGCTGATGCCTCTTGGTTCTGATGGTGGTACTATTGCTGGTGTTGTGCTTGCTCCTTTGGCTGCGAAGCCACGTTGACAGGAAGCTGCTACTTCCCCTAATCGTTGCAGAAGCCGAAGCAGCACCATCAGCAGAAACGGCAGCAAGGGCCGCAGCACGGGGTTTATTGTCTTTTTCAGTAGAAGGCCAGGACACCAGCCAACATCTGTAAGAAACGCTACAGCAACTGTCGCAGGTGCTGCTGCCGTTGCTCCTGCTGTTTCGCTCGCTTCGGCGACTCCTGCGTTTGCTGCTGCAGCGAGAAACTCCCTCAACGAAGATAAATGCGTCGCTAGGGAAGATCCGGAGAGAGCTGGAGCAACCGGGGCACTTGCTGCTGCTCCTTTCCGCTGCAGATGGGGAGACGCTTCTCCCGTTGCTCTCTTCGTCACTGCTGCTGGTCGGGCTGCTACTGCGGCTGCTACTGCTGCTGTTGCTGGATAAACATCTGACTGGCAAGGATTGAGACGTGATCGGTTCTGAGCTTTCTATGGTAAGCGCCGCATCAAGCAGCAAAGGTTTCTTCTCGCTGCTGCTGCTGCTAGGGCTGCAGCAGCAGCAGCTGTTGCTTCTGCAGAAGAAAGGCAGCACCGCGACATACAGCCATGAGGGCCGGGCATCCCTCATAGCGCGCTCGCGCTGCAGTTGCTGCAGCTTTGCTGCTGTGTCGTGCAGCCGGTAGATCGGACTCCTTGTTTGCTGCTGCTGGGGCTGCGGCTGTTGCTGATACTGTTGCTGCTGCTGTTCGTCGGCGAAGGAAGCCAACAACTCCACCAGCTCCCCCGTACTAGAAGAGGTGAGGCCCTTCGGGAGATCATCCACTGCTTGTTCCGTGCCCTGCAGAAACAGCAACAATCGCAGCAGCAGCAGCAGCAGCAGCAAGAGTAGCAAGAATTAGTTCAAAGCACCAACAGTTCTCCCCTACATAAGGGCAAAAACAACAACTCCTGTTGACGATGCTAAAAATAGCAGCGATGCCAACAACCGCAGCAACAGTGCCCAAATGAGCAACATCGGCAGCAGCACCTCACCAGAGCGCAGGCATCCATCAGTGTCTCTAATTCTGCTAGGAGGGGACTAGCTTCTGTTGCTGGGCCTTGAGGACCCCCAAAGGGAGGCTGCAGCTTCAGCAGCTGCAGCGGGAGATCCTGCTGCAGCAGCTGGAGCTCCTGCCACTCCTGGCTGCCAGCTGGTTGCTGCTGCAGTTCATAAGGAGGTAGCAGCCACGCAGCTTGCTGCTGCTGCTGCTGTTGCTTCTGCTTCAACAGCTGTAGAGGCCCACCTGCTTCGGGCCACATAAACCGGTCGCTGCTGCTGTCTGCTGCTGTGCTGTATCCACAGAAACGTTCAAATTGCTGCAGCAGCTGCTGCCGCTGCAACAGCAACTGCGCTCTTGTGTCTTGATGCAGCAGCCCCAGCTGCAGCTCCTCGCACAGCTGCTGCGCGGCCTGCCAACGCCCCTGTTGCTGCCGCTGCTGTTGCTGCCGCTGCTGTTGCTTCTTCACGGCCACCTGCTGGAGGAACAGAAGCGCTTCCCGCGATACAAAAACAACGGCGCTGTCGCGGCTGCTGCTGCTGCTGCTGCTGCAGGGAGACGATGCAGCAGGGAGTATGGGATCCCCACGACGGACAGTAGCAGACAGGAAAGTGCAGGCTTCGAGCATTTGCTGGTAAGCAGCAGCAGGTGTAGCACGTGCTGCGGTAGTTGCAGCAACAGGTGCAGCAGCCATGTGCAGACGTAATGCAAGGAGACCAAAGGCAGTAGGAAAGGCAGAGAGAGCAGCAGCAGCAGGAAGCAGCTGTCTCTTAAGAGGCAGGCCTTCTGCTGCTCTTTGCCTCTGTTTAAATTGTGTCTCTTCGAAGCTGTTTTCTGCTGCATCGCCCCAGCTTGCTGCTGCTGCTGCTGCACTTGCTGCAGCAGCAAAGAAGCCCTTCAGAGATACAACACGGAGACAGTTCCTGCTGTCTCCAATTACAAGATGATGAGACTCACGACTGACCCGTACAGACAGCAGCACCACAGGCAAGTCGAAGGCGCGGGCTCTTGCTGCTGCTGCTGCGCAGCTGCAGCAGCAGCGGCAGTTGCCGCTGCAGCAACTTCTCCTCCCTTTCCTGCTCCTGCCTCGGTCCCAGCTGCATTGGCAACGACTATCGGCAACGTTTTCGCTGCTAATGCATTGCTTCTGCTGCTGCTGCTGCTGCGGGGGGTCGTACAGAGGCAATTCCAACGCATGCACTGCAACACCTGCCGTTACACACCAAATGAGTATTTGCTGTAGCGGCGGCGTCGTTATAGCATAAAGGTAGGAGGAGCAGCAGCATGCATCAACGAATCGCTGAAGGGGCAGCTGTGTCCCTTTTTGGCCAGTGCTGATGTTGCTGCTGTTGTTGCTGCCGCTTGTGCTGCTGGGCGGCCGAGCAGGAAGGGACACAGGCAGCTGCAGGACGAAGCGCCGCACAAGGGAGACACCTGCACCGCCGAGCTGCAGGCGGAGGCAAACAGCATCATTAAGCAGCAACAGCAAATCGCTGCGGCCGCTAACCATCAGCCTCCAACAGTCGTTGCTGCTGCTGCGGTTCCGGCTGCTTGATTGTGCTGCTGCTCTACGCTGCTGCTGCAGCTGCTGCGGAAGGGAGGAGCTTCGATCCGCAAAAGCCTTGAGGGCAAAGAGTGAAAGAGAATACAACAGGATACAGTTGCTGCTGCTGTTCTTGCTGCTGCCGTTGCTGCTCCTGCTTCTGCAACTAGATATTTGCCGGTCAAGTTCCCACCGAAGCAGCAACAGGCTGTCCCCTTGAGCATCAGATGCATCAACGAAATCCGTTTCGTGCCAGTACCTGCAGCTGCTGTTGCTGTTACTGCTGCAGCTGTTGTTGCTGCTGCTGCAGCAAGAGTTGTCTTTGCTGCACTTCAACTGAAGGTCATGCCAGGGAAGCAGGGGAGCATCAGGTGTGCATACACCTCGAAATACAAACAGCTGCAGCGAGTCCCTGCCGAGGCAGCACAATACTTGCGTACGCTGCTGTTGTTGCTGTTGCTGCTGCTGCTGCTGCAGTGGTAGCAGAACTGGAGGTAGCTCCGCCCAAGCAGCAGCAACGCAACAACGCATCAAAACTCCCTTCTTATGACCCCACTTTCTGCTGCTGCGGCTGCTGTTGCTGCTGGTGTCATGTGTCTGCTGCACTGCTGTCTGTCCCCCAGGCAGCAGCGGTTTCCCCCGCCACAAAAATCCCTCTGCTGCTGCTGCTGCTGCAGCAGCAAGAGAAGGATCAGCAGCGACAGCAGCTCCCGAAGGAGCAGCAGCGACAAAAAGACGCAGCCGCCCATGCCGGATAGGGATTGAAGCACAATCAGCATGTTCCTGCTTCTGCTGCTGCTGCTGCTGAGCAGGTATATTGTGTGCCAATCTGCCACAGCAGCACGCAGTTCTTCTGCTGCTGTCACAGAGCTCCCTTCCCTCACTGCTGCAGTCACAGCTGCATGTGCAGCAGCACGAGCTACCGCTGTTGCTTGTGCTGCTGCTGCTGCTGCTGCTGCTAAGGACAGCTAGAAGGGACTGGTCATGAGAGAGAAGTGTCTCCTTTCCTTGTGGCACTTCTTCCTTGAATGTCCTCACCTTTATAAAACCAGCACCATCAGGCCCTCCCATATCGCATAGCCAGTTGCTGCTGTTGCTGCTGCTGTTGCTGCTGCTGTTGCTGCTACTGTTGCTATTGCTGTTGCTGTTGCTGCTGCTGTTGCTGCTGCTGTTGCTGCTGTTACTACTGTTTGAACATGGGGCGACCGACGTCGCACTGCTGTCAGTCGCTTCCCAAGGAGGCATGCTGAGTGCTGCTGTAGGAGGTGATTGGGGCTCAGCAGCAGCGCATGCAGCAGCTGCAGCTGTTGCTGCTGCATGTGCTGCTGCTGCTTCTGGTGCATTGATTACATCGTGTGGTGTCGGTGAATACGTACTGTCATCTATATTGCAACTAAGCGCTGCATCAGCGCCAGTTCTCTCTGCTGCTGCTGCTGTTGTTGCTGCTGCTGCTGCTCTCTCCGACACAGCTATAGGCGACTGGATAGAGCTATCATCGTTTTGATGCTGCTCGCTGCTGCTGCTGCTGATGCCGTCCGCTGTTGGTGTTGCTGCTGCTGCTGCTGCAGGAGCAACAAGGACGGTGTCTGCTGCATTTGCTGCCGATCCCGAAGCAGCTGTGGAAGGAGCAGCAGCAGCCGCAGTAGAACTCTCGTCTTCAGGGGGCAAAGGCTGCATGCCGCGACGCCTGCTGCTGCTGCTGCAGCACCTGCAGCAACAGCTGCAGCTGGTGTGCTACTAGTCCGGCTGTTGCTGCGCCTGCTGCTCCTGCTGCTCCTGCTGCTCCTGCTGCAGATGTGTTGTCCGCCACTCCTGCTGCAGCTATTGCTGTTGCTCGCTCTGCTGTTGCTTCTGTTACAGCAGCTCGCAGCTTCCTGTGGTGCCGTTGTTTCCGCGGCAGTAACGACTGCAGCAGTAACTGCTGCTGCTGCTGCGGTTGCTGCTGCTGCTGCCGGTATGAAACTCCAAACAGGTGTTAAGGTAGCAATTAAAGGCAGCAGCAGATATTTAAAGTCAGGGAGAAAAACAGCAAAAAGGAGACAATGATACACAAGACACAATGCTGCTGCTCCCGCTGCTGCTGTTTGCTGCAGTCGGCTGCGGCCGCCTGGCAGTCTTAAACCCTCGACACAAAAGCCTAAACCCTAGGTCGTAAACCCTAAACCCTAAACCCTTAACAACAACAAGCCCTAAGTAATGATTATTAAACCCTAAACCCTAAACCTTCAGCAGTCGATCACTTACACACAGGGACACAAGATCGAACTCACAACCAGTGCAGCAGCAGCTGCTGCTGCTGCTCCTGGTACTGCAGCAGCAGCAGCAGCAGTAGTAGTACCATAAGTATAGTTATAAAAACAAAATTGAATTCGCGTATTTACTTTATTTATTCAATTTAATTATTTATTGAAAAGGAGCGATCCAGCAGCCCAGCCGCTCTCCACTAGCTGCCGCATGCAACAAGACTAGCAGCAGCTGCTGCTGCAGCAACAGCAGCAGCAGCAGCACGGTTGCTAGAAGCAGCAAATATTAAGACTTCTTATCTTGTGTTATGTTAACCTTCGAAGATTCCCCGAAGGATCCTTTGGCAGTGCTGTCGAACCCGCCACCCTATTTAGGGTTTAGGGTTTTAGGGTTTAGGGTTTAGTGTTTTAGGGTTTAGGGTTTAGGGTTTAGGGTTTATTCAGTGTGCATGCATAATCTTGCATCTATCTCCTTTGCTTGCTATCTCTTTTATTTGCTGCTGTCTCTTGCCGCTCCTTTTCTCTGTTCTTCTTCTTGCCTCTTATGTCCTTTTTCTTCCCCTTATGTAAGTCTTAGAGAATATCTGTTTCTTCTTTTGCTGTCTCTTCCTCTCTTAGCTGCTGCTGCTGCTGCTACTGCTGCTGCTGCTGCTGCTGGAGATGTCTGTCTTACGACGCCGTCCTCTCGGCTTTCCGAGGTCTCTCACTCTTGACTGTCTCCATCCATCAGCAGCAACAGCAGCAACAGCAGCAGCACCACCAGCATCAGCAACTGCTGCTGCACCGAGGAGAGCGAGGGCTGCAGCAGGATTGCGGAGGTCCCTACCACCAGCAGCAACAGCAGCAACAGCAGCAACAGCAGCAACAGCAGCAGCAGCGGCTCGACGTTCATTTTCTTTCACAGCGAATTCTACGGCATTGTCTGTGTCTGTACCACTACCAGCAGCAGCAGCGGCAGCAGCAACAGCAGCAACAACAGCAGCAGCAGCAGCAACAGCAGCAGGTCGCCTCTCATGCTTATCCCTCCAGTTGCGTTATTTTGGTGCCACGGATTTCTTCCTTAAATCTGCTGGCAGCAGCAGCAGCAGCAGCAACTCCCGCTTAAGGCCTACAATTGGGGGTCCATCTGCTGCTGCTTCTGCTGCTGCTGCTGCTGCTGCTGCCAATCCTACCTCAAGAATATTTGATACATTCATGGCTATAGAACGCAAAGTTCGTCTACAGATATGCATGCACTGCTGCTGCTCCTCCTCTTGCTGCTGCTGCTGCTGCATATATTGCTACAGCCGTTGCTGCTGCTGTTGCTGCTGCGTCTGGCTCTAAATGCATCTCCTGCTGCTCCCACCACCACCACTGCTGCTGCTGCTGCTTGTATGCATTACTTGCTTTATTGCTGCTGCTGACAGCATGTTCTGCTATTGTTGCTGCTGTTGCTGCTGCTGCTGCTGCTGCTGATTGCATGCATAATGTGTGTATAATTATGTTATATAGGGGAGACAAGTAGTATCTTTATTAACAGATAGGGAGGGAAGACAGCAGCAGAAGCAGCAGCTGCTGCTGCAGCAATTTTATGTTTTTTATATAAAACAATTAATGGCTAAACAAGGATTATTTACTCTTGCTGATTTCCTTACTCTTAAAAGGGTAATTTGCTGCTGCTGCTGCTGCTGCTGTTGCTGCTGGTCCTGCTGCTGCTGTTGCTGCTGTTGCTGTAGTTAGTATACCCTTATTGTCTATTGGTCTCGATGTTTTTGTATTTGCTGCTGCTGTTGCTGCTATTACTGTTGCTGCTGTTGCTACTACTGCTTCTATTGCTGCTCATGCTGCTGCTGCTGCTGCTGTTGCTGCTGCTGCTGCTGCAGAATCTGTTAGTGTATCTAGATGCATGCGAAGAAGAATTAGGGGGATTAAGACAAAGAATAGCAAAGAAATTAGCAGCAGCAGGACTGCAGCAATTTGCTGCAGCAACATCAGAGGAGAAGCAGCAATTTAAGAAAGAGAGTCTGTCTCCTTTTTATTTAATTAAGTGTCTCCTTTTTATATAATTAAGTGTCTCCTTTTTATATAATTAAGTGTCTCCTTTTTATTGTTGTCTCCTTTTTATTTAATTAAGTGTCTCCTTTTTATTATTGTCTCCTTTTTATTATTGTCTCCTTTTTATTTAATTAAGTGTCTCCTTTTTATATAATTAAGTGTCTCCTTTTTATTTAATTAAGTGTCTCCTTTTTATTATTGTCTCCTTTTTATTTAATTAAGTGTCTCCTTTTTATATAAGTGTCTCCTTTTTATTATTGTCTCCTTTTTATTATTGTCTCCTTTTTATATAATTAAGTGTCTCCTTTTTATATAATTAAGTGTCTCCTTTTTATTAAGTGTCTCCTTTTTATATAATTAAGTGTCTCCTTTTTATTAGGTGTCTCCTTTTTATATAATTAAGTGTCTCCTTTTTATTAAGTGTCTCCTTTTTATTATATATAATAAGGTGTCTCCTTATAATAATAAATTGTCTCCTTTTTTATAATAAAATGTACAAAGATATAGTAGGAGACACTTATTGCTGCTGCATGTGTTCCTGCTGCTGCTGCTGTTGCTGCTGTTGCTGCTGTTGCTGCTGCTGCTGCAGTATCAATATTGGAGTGTATGTCTCCTTCTGAGCTCCGTCTAACATGTCCCTCTGGATTGTCTCCTTTTAGCCGCAAAGCAATTGCTGCTGCTGCTGCTGTCCCTCTTAGTAATGTTGACGACCTCTTGCTGCAGTTCTCTACTATGCAGGTAACCTTTCTCTCCCTACTGCTGCTGCTGCTGCTGCAGCTGCTGCTGCTCTTGCTGCTGTTGCTGCTGCTCGTGCTACTGTACTGTTGTTGGTCTTGCTGCTACTACTGCTGCTCTTGCTGCTCCTGCTGCTGCTGCTGCTGCAGGGGGACCGTCATTGGTTTATGCGTCTGCTGGAGTTGGGTCGTCCTTTGCCGGGATCGTTTGAAGATCGTCATCTCCTAGCTGAGACAGACAGACCTTACGGTAACCCTTCTGCTGCTGCTGCTGCTGCTGCTGCTGCTGCTTGTTGCTGCTGGTCGTTGCTGCTGCTGTTGTTCGTTGTCTTTGAATATGTTGGAGTTACTGGATGACCAAGCACCTTCGTACCTGCGGGCTAATAGTGTCTGGGAGTGTGCTGCTGCTCTTGTTGCTGCTGTTGCTGCTGCTGCTGTTGCTGCTGCTGCTGCAGAGATACGTTTGCCCTATGGGGAGAAGTTTTATAACTACGAAGTAGAGAGGATGAGGAGACTATTGAAGATGAGAGGAGACGGCAGAGGAGACAGAAGGAGACACAAGAACGAAATGAGGTACATATTCTGCTGCTCTGCTGCTGCAGACTGTTGCTGCTGCAGACTGTTGCTGCTGCTGCTGCTTGTAGCTCTGCTGCTGCTGCTCAGCTTGTTGGTGCTTTGTCTGCTCTGCCCTCCCTCGGGTTTGCGCTGACATCGTCTATCCCTACTATAACTGCTACTACTACTGCTGCTAACTCTTGTTGCTGCCGTATCTGCTGATGCTGTTGCTGCTGCTGTTGCTGCTGCTGCTGCTGCAGGGAAGCTATGCGTTGCCGTATGTACCACCCTAAGACTCGCCAATGGATAGACCGATGGCGTTGCTTTGGGGATTTCTTTGCTGATCCTTACGCCAACTTTGTTGCTCGCCGTCAGCATCTGCAGCAGCAGCACAGGTTGCAGCTGCAGCAGCTGAGGTTACAGAAGCAGCAGCAGCAGAGGGAGGGACAACAGCAGATACAGCAGCAGAGACTGCCGCGCCTGCCTAAAGGAGTAGCCATAAGGAGAAGGAGACTATCTCTTGATGTACTGCATGCAGCCTTCTTACGGCGTCTCCCTAAGAATGATGATGAGCTGCGGCAGCTGCTGCTGCATGCAGCAGCAGCAGAAAAACCAAGGATAATGTTGCAGCCTACAAAGAAGAACCAAGAAGCAGCAACGCCTACTCGTAGCAGCAGCAGCAGCAGCAAAAGCAGCAGCAAAGACACAGGCAGTTTAGACGTAGACAAACAGGATCATTTTCTCCTCTAGACAGCGCATGCAGCAAACGCCAAACAGCAGCAGCAGCAGCAACAGCAGCAACAGCACTTGCTGCTGCTGCTGCTGCTGCTGCTAAGATATATTTGCCTCGCAGTATTCTTTTTTTAAACCAGCAGCAACACGCTGCACCACTTTTTAATATTTGTTCTCCTTGCTGCTGCTAACTATTGTTGCTGCTGCTGCTGCTGCAGCAACAGCAGCAGCAATATCCTGCCTCCTTATATACCTAAATTGGATTTGAAGAATTGTTATAGCTAGCAAGAATGAGGGTTTAGGGTTTAGGGTTTAGGGTTTGTCCAGACAGCAGCAGCAGCAGCTACAGCTGTCTTCGAAGGAAGGGTTAATTCCTGCT